TCCAGGCTCAGAGTAGGCCTGTTATTAAAAGACCATTTGGCTCACCACAGTTAGAATTTCAGCTTCCTATTGAGATGAGAGCTCGTAGGATGCGTCTCTGGGTGGCATGCAGCCATCTCCTCAGAAAGACGGCATTGGCGTCACATAGTTTCTTCCAGACAGTTCTATGAGGGTGTTGGTGGCAGAACAAAAGGAGGACAGTCCCATAGACCGTCCTTCCTTCATGAGAAGCCTGAGGGCTTTTTTTGCACTAGAAGAGCTCAAAGCATCCTGGGCAATCCCCAGCAGGGCTTCAGCTATAATGAAAGAGATGACTTGGGGCCTCAGTTGGTTTGCTGGAACCCTAATTTGAAGGGTCTTCCACAGTCACGGTAGGTGGTAAAAGTATCATAGAAAAGGAGGGAGGTGACCCTAGAGTGAGTTGACAATTGAGGAGTCAGATTGGGATGGAGAGAGAGACCCTTATTTGGGACTGGTAGCTGAAGTGAGACAGGGAGGAACAGGGGTGGTAAATGGCCCCAAAGGGAGGACAAACTGAAGAAATAAATGCATGATGTAGGTCTGAGCTCTAGGGCAAGTTTAGCCAACCTGGCCTGAGGCTTCTCTGATCCACCTGTTAGCCATAATCGCCTACTCAGTGCTCTTCAGACATTAAAGATTCAACTGAGCTTGTGTGAAAAAAGAAAGTAAACTCTTTCCAACTCAAACCCTTTTGCTCTGGTCTAACCACAGCCCAGTGAGGGACAGGAGCATCATCTGCCTTTAGCTGATGAGGACACAGATGCACAGTAAAGGCTTGTACGAGGTCACACAAGAAGTCAATGTTAGAACCATATTTGGGACTCAAGGTCTTCTTGGTCCCCTGGCCAGTGATCAGATCACACAGTCTACCCAGGAGCTGGATTTAGATACTGACTTCCAGAAGTGCTCATAGGGAGGGCTCATGCTGTCAGGCACAATTAATTATAGAGACAGTTGCTAGATTCCAGCCCTATAATTGCAGTAGCTACCCTGGTTTCTCGTGTCTGCCTTGTAGACACATTCATTACAGCTCTGAGGTGAACATGTCATATTACTCTATCTACAATTAAAAATAAAATGGTACCAAGTTCCTTCTGAATAATTTATGCCTCCTAATCTATCTCTGGGTGAACAACTTTCATTTGCAGTATTTCCCTAGTTAACTGTGATAAAGAAATGCATGCTTTGCAATCGTCTCCTGCAGCAACTTGATGATAATCAACCATGAGTGACTGGTGCCTCTTGAATCTCACAAGGGTAGGGGGAGGAGGGGGCACCCACAGAAGCCACCAACCCTGTCAGGGGGGGCACCAGCCCTACTGTGTCGGCTGTCGGGGGGGCACGTGCACCCCTGTGCATCCCCTACCAGTCGCCTGTGTAATCAACACAGTCTAGAGAGGTGTTGAATTTTAGGATTATAGAAAAGTAGGGCTGGAAAGGACCTCAGGATGTCATTTAGTCCAACCTCCTGCTCATGGCAGGAACATCCTTATCCAAAACATCCCAGACATGGGCTTGTCTAACATTTTCCTAAAACAGTAGAAATAACCTTATCACAAGGTAGTTAGCTGTGTTAGCCTGCAGTCAAGAAGAAGGTAGGGCAGGATGGCATCTTTGCAACTAAGTGCTTCAGAGAGGCATAAGCTTTCATAGGTGACAGTCTGCTTCATCCAGTGTTATGAATACTGTTCACAGTTCCTAAGATGCCACGCTGCCCTGCCTTCTTCCCATCCAAGTCCGAGAAGTCTACCATGAAACCCACAGCGCTTATTTCAGGAGAGTAGGTTGGAGATATCTTTATGGCTCCATCCAAAGCCCAGTGGAGTCACTAGGAAGCCTCAGCTCCTTTAGCAAGGTCCCAGGGCCTTCCACAAAGACCTCAGCAGTTCTGCTGTCTTTCGCTCTGCAGAAAGAGACTCACAAAAAGTTTTTTTTCCTCTTTTAGATTTGTCCCTGCACTGCCCAAGAAGTTGCTTTTTTACACAGAATCTCTTCCCAGTGTTCCCCACTTGCAGCTTATATGAGCAGTCTGAGCTGACAGTCTCAGCATACCCCATCATTGGGCTGAGCAGACAGCATGCTTGGCTTGTGGCCTCCCTAAAAAAAATCATCATGCTCTATAGCACGTACAGATAGACCCAAGCTTCAGATTTTCCAGCCTCCAGCTAACCAGCCCACCAGATCTCAGCCCCCTGGGCAAATGCATTATGTGTGGGATGGACCTGTGTTGGATTTGATGTTTCAGCTCAGGCTGTCCATTCTCCATGGTGCTATTTTGTGTGCAGAAATAAGAAAACTCAATAACGCTCTCTATGATTTTCTTGTTTTAGTTATCATTATGTGCATGCATTCTGTGCTCATTGGAGGGGAAGAGCAGGCGGCCTTGCTCACAAGAGCTCATGAAATGGGAATAACAGATGGAAGATACGTCTTTGTTCCATACGACACTTTACTTTACAGTCTCCCTTACCAAAACAATTCGTTCAATGCTTTTGACAACAACCGTAAGCTCCAGGAGGCATATGATGCTGTACTGACTATCACGATGGAGGCTGAAGAAAGGACATTTTACGATGCATTCAGGGAAGCTAAAGAAAGTGGTGAAATCCCAATGGAGCTAGAAACCGAACAGGTAAGCACTTTTTCTACCTTGGGAGTCACTTGTACCCCCTGGCTGGATAGAGGGGTCAATGATTAAACAGGTGTCAAGCAAATGATGAGGAAGCTAGATGTGATTGAAAAAATATGTTGTGCACTTTGAAATAAACACTGTCCACATTACTTTGGCAAGATGTTACCAAGAATCCTCTACCCCGAATAGAATCTGCATTTGAGATAATCCAGCTGTTTTGCTTCTGAGGAGCACAGCTGTGTTGGAAGGTCATGGAGGATAAAAAGGCATCTTTGAGGGAGCCCATTAAGGGCTATATGCAGTAGGACCAGAACTCAGTTTTGTCCAGAAGGGAAGAGACCCAATGGATTTGTTGAAACAGTAAGGCAAGGACATTGCTTGGTCAGCATTTTGAGGTTTTACACCATGATTGTAACTGGGTACCTGGATCTTAAAATGGGAGTTTGGCCTACCCTAACCTAAAACTAATCAACTACTCCCATTTGAGATCAATCAACCAATTAATTACAAAAATCACCAGTGGGACAGCAGGGAATGTGATTGGATGGGGGGGGGCTTCTGCAGCAGACCCTGAAGCAGCAGTGAAGGATAAAAGGGAACAGCCTCTAGGCCTCAAAGCCTCCTTAGTCTAAGGGAACAGCTCCATTTTAATATTATTTTGTGGGTTTTAATAGTAAACTGTGCCTTGAAAGAAGGGCCTAATGGTATGGTGGAGATAAGCTACATGGTCCCTGGGATCCCACAGGTGCAAACCCTGAGGAGCCCCTTTAGAAGACCAAGTGCCTTGTGACTTGCTGAAAATGGCTGCAGAGATGAACGTTGTGGGCTCAGCCCTTCCTGCAACACAGCAGTTTCACAGCATCTTTGTAAAAACTTGTTTGAATGAAATAAAAGCATCCATACATTAATGCATTTGGGTTTAGCTAAGAGCCACTTGGAGCCCCATTACTTTAGAGGCCTAGGAAATGTTCATGTTGGCATTTAGATGCCAGGATTAGGCAACAGCTGGTTCAAGGTTTTAAATTAGGGTCTCACATACTTAATGTGTCATTGCAGTACTTAAGCAACTCACCCTGGGAGGCACAGAAAGCGTGTAGCAAAATCTGATTGTTATACGCCGATGGCAGGCCCAGGCCCCCCAGGAACTGCAACCCTCACCGCAGTGACTTGAGAGAAGTCACCAAATGTACATCCACTACTTATGTGGGACAAATCATGAGGAAACAGGAACAGGAGTGCAGGTTACAGGTCAACAGCTAGGCTGCCAAGGGAGGACACCTAGCAAAGAAATCCAGCTACTCGCTGTCCCTTGAATGTATCTTAGCCATTGGATGGTGCCCAGTGAAACTTTGCCTGGAGAAGTGCATGGGCAAGGGAAAGGAAGACACCCCTACAATCACCCAGGTGGCAAAGCAGGAAATCGAACCTGTCCCCTTAGTCACGGACCAGTGCCCTGCCCACTGTGAGCTTTAAATTAGATGAAAGCGGGGGATTGCTTTGATACTGGTGTCAGTGTAGCATTAACTTAATTTCTACTGTCTTTTCAGGTCTCTCCACTCTTTGGAACAATTTACGATGCCATCTACTTCATGGCCAAAGCTCTTGAGAATGCTCGAAAGGAAGGGGATGCAGTTTCAGGACCAATTTTGTCAGAAAACATCAAAAACCTGGACTTCCCTGGATTCAGCCAGAGGATACGCACAGACAACGGTGGGCAGGGGCTGAACAACTATATGGTATTGGACACAGTGGGCCAAGGGAACCAGCTTTTTCCAACCTACTTGGTGGACATGTCTGCTAAATCGGTGCAGTTCTTAGGCCGACCGATACACTTCCCTGGCGGATCCCCACCGAGACCAGACTCCGGCTGCTGGTTTGATCAGAACGGCGTATGCAGTGGAGGTAAGATATGAAATATTGGGTTTATGCAGAGGTGGGTCAAATCTGCAGGCACCCAAGACCAGGATCTGAACCCTCCCCAAACTGCAAACTTGTTCTGACCCAAGAGTTTGCCTTAGTCCACCGCAGAGATGACCATGTACCAAGTCAAATGGCCTGAAAGTCCAGGATATCTGGACCTAGGCCATCTCAAGTGACCCCATCAGACTGTGACTGCACAAGTTCCAGTTTTGAATGTTACCTTCTCTTGCCAGCTTGCCTCTGTTCTGGCTTCCTCCCAGCCCCAGCCGCATTCTTCATCACTAGCCTTGGTCTCCATTTTCAGCTCTCCACTTGCTCTGTCCTTTCCCCTAATAGCACAATAACTCCCGTCTCCCTCCACTCCACCTAAGCCCCGTACAATTTTGAAGAGTCCCATCCACCTCCCAGAAAAGCAGGGAAGACTAGAATGCAGCAGTCATTTCTCTGTTTGTGCATTGCATATTTTTCCCTTACCCCACGAGTTATGGGAGTTTCTATGGGATAAAGCCCATGCCCAGTGGCAAACAGGAATACAAAATAGTTTTAGACTCGTTGCTGCTATGCATTTATTGTCACTGATTATCAGCTGCGTTGTCTACTGTGGTCAGTGAGTGGCAAGGATGACTTATCCTGTATCTTTGTAGAGTACCTAGCAGCACGGTTCCTCAACTGCTATGTACTCAGGCAGAAGTGAATATCCAGCTATGATGTCGGTAGGCGAATTGGTGACTGCAAAGTAAGCTAAGGTGTGAATTTCCACAGCATCAGGTACTCCGTAGTACCTGCCTCTGCATGTGATCGTACCCCATGGTAAATTAAGGCAAGCTTATCCCTCACTGAAAATGGAATAAGTGCATGCATTAGCACATGCAGAGTTCACACTGTGGCCTAAATGGCAATAACTGTTTTGTGCACCAAAAGGATTAAAGGCCCAAATCGGTTGGCTGTCCCGATTAGCAGCAGCTTCTCCAGGTAGCTAATTAGCAGGCTGTAAGGATCACTGGAAGCTTATCTCAGCAAGAAAAAATAATCACAGAAAATTATTTGAGGCGTAGCTGGTTACAGAGGTGGCAATCAAAGGCTCTGAGCAATAGCAGTCATTGAAGCCTGGCTGGATACGTGGGAACTTTGGTACCAATCTTGCCTTTTTGCCTTTGCACTGCAGTAATAAGGGTGCAATCAGAGGGTTGCAACAGGAGGCCAAAACCCTAGGAGAGGATTACTCTTAGGCTACAGTTAATGTATTTAGTGGCAACACAGAATTATGCCTATTTTTCCTGGCCAGGCCAAGAGTGGGTATATAGCAGTCTAGTCCTACTGGGGTCAGAGCTACATTGATTTACAACTATAGGCCTGCCCTTTATCCGTTAGGTAGAAATCATAATCCCACCTTGCAGAGTTATGCTGACAATTTCTGTAATTATACTTAGGGGCCAGTCCTGCTGCACTTACAACCATTGGTTTCACTGAAGAATCAGAATTAGTGCTTAATACCTACGCAGAAATATGAAGCTTCAAACATTTGTCAATAGTGGTTAGCTTTTATTTCTAAGATTCACTTTTACTGGTGGAATCCAACCCAGGTCACAGCCTGGCCCCTGGTCGGAGAGGGTTGGACATGTGGTTTTAGCTCAAGATAGTCTTTGTCAAGTGGTTGGGCTAATGGAGGAAAGAGCAAGGCTCCTGGGTCCTATTTCTGGTTTCGGCATCATCTTGCAGTGGTACTTGAGACAGACAGGCTTACAGATGTTGCCATTCAGCAAATCAGGAAAATGGGGGAGGGGAGACACTCCAAAGGTTGTCATGAGTTTTGGCTTCTGTTGTTTTGAGAGCCCTACACAAAATGCACTCTTCTGCTAAGTGCTAACCGTCCATTGTGAATCAATGCTTTCTGTTCACCCTAGCAGCGAGGTGCAGCAAGCATGCAGTGCTATAGCATAGTGCTTTGCTTCTGGTCAGTGCCCATGCAGAAAGGTGGACATCGGGTCTGGGATTCCCAATTGAGCATGCGATAATGCTGCCCACATCCCATCCCCAGTAAAGGTTTTTCCATTTTACAACACCAGCACCCTCTCTCTCTGGAACAGCAAAGGCAGCAGCCTCCAGCTAGTATGACCAAGTCAGGTCTTGGTGGTGATGTTAGACATGCAGAAGCTGACTTTGGTCTGGCTGTTTTTTAAAAGAGTATGACGGCCTCATTGAGGCATTGAAAGCAAACCCTGGGTCTCTTCTATATATATGACCACAACGCTGAGCAACTGCTGCACAAAATAAAGACCCTGCTCAGGCTGAGCTACATCATTTTGAGCTAAGGGGATGCTTCCAGGATCTGGCTTAACACCAGCAAGCAATCAATTGAAAATGGATCTTTAAAAAGTGCTGAAATCAGATCTAAGTAGGAGACTCCATCACAAGAGGGAGCACCAATTAATTAAATTCATTTACTATAACTAGTAGCTGAAGTGGGACAACATTACGTCTAAGTCTATCTCCTGGCTGAACCCACCACAGCAAGTGTAGCTTGTTATCTAAAGCAGTCTAGATACACAGAAATAATATCCCTCATACTGGGGATACATAATAGGGCTCCAGGCAGGCTCATGTGGCAGAAGGTATGGACATACAGAAGACAGAAGGAAGAAAGGGAAACTTATTGAAGATCGGCTCAATCCGCTGTAACGGTGTTGTTTGTCTGCTCCTTTTCCATGGCAAAAACATTTTAAACCAGGGCATCTTATTCCTGGAGCAAACAGAGTTATGTCACCATAGTTTAGGTGGGTTTAAAGCCTGTCAGGAATAGAGGCACCAGATTAGCTGATGCAAGCTTATGCAGTAAGGGGATAGATAGACATAGCAGGTATATGAGTATTGAATGATGCCAGTATAAGTAGTTAGACCTGCTTCCTCCTATAGCAATAGGAGCATGGCAAAGCAGTTGAATTTTAATGTTGTTTCTTTCAGGGTTAAAGCCCTAACAATTAAGCTTGCTTGTATTGCTACAAGAGCGCACAGGCAGACACATCATGACATCTCATGGGAGCTCCTCAGTGATAGCGCCATCTCAAAGGGAGCTGGTTATAATCTAGTGCCAGAGGTAGTGATAAGACATGGAGGGAGAAGACTCCACCTGGAAAAGTCTCTTCTCCTCCCAGGCCAAAGCTAACCCAGTTCCTTCACCCACCCCTAACCTTATCCTCGTGACTTCAAGCCAGTCTGGTATTCTCACTGCAATAGTCCTTTTCCCTCACAGGGTCTGCCTTAGTCTCCTCCAGCTCTCGTGGAGAGGCCCAGACTGGAAACCCCTAGACAAGGCTCAGTCCCAATCACCACCCTCCTGCACAAGGCCTTGGTCTTCTCCCATTTCAACTCTCTACCTCCTGCCTCCCACAGCTCCATGCAACTGCCCCAATGCCTCCCTTTATGTAGTCCTGACCACATGATCCATCTGTCGCATGCCCTAGATCAATGCCTCCCACCAGTCTCTCTTGGGGGCTACATCTCCCAAAATCCTTTGCCTTGAAGGGCTAAGCCCCCAGCTGCCACCATCTTCTCTTGAAGGGCCAAAACACTCTTGTTCTAGAGGTTGCCCTGTACCAATAAAGGATTTCTAGCAGCGTGGCCTAAATGTAGAGATGACACATGTGAAAGAGAACAACCCCCTAAGTCTGTTTAGTAGCTACAGGTGAAATAGCACCATTTGCAGTAGGTTGCCCAACATTTCCCATTATATCTATGACCTATTCCTTGGCCATAAATATGCCTCTGGATGACCTATTTTGAAATTTAAGTTCAATGTAAATGTTTCAGTGACAAGGTCAGGGCGAATATACTGTCTACCTTGTGTTAAAAAAAAAAATCTTGCAGCTCTTCACAAAGACTTCATAGGAGCTTCATGTTTTGGAGCAGGGACTCTGAATCTGGCAGTGGGGTTGGCCTAGTGTCAGCTGGTGGGGCTGGCCTTTTGGTACCCCAGGTTTACTTGAGTACACTAAGTTGTAAAACCTCAAAAAAATTCTTGTGCTGTATATGGTTGGTAAATGGTGAGGGACTAGAGGGGAAATC